TGAAAGAGGAAAATCATGCTTTTCTTTGGTTTCTTTCTTATACGCCAGATGTGCAAGAAAGTTCCAAACCTCTGGATCAGATATGTCTGCTGATAAGATCCAGGTTGCAAACTGGTACACCTCATTCCAAAATTTTAAGCTTTCCTCTTTTCACATTTTTAATCCTCTAGATTTAAGTAGAGTCTTAAGAGAATGAATCTGGTGCTTTTTTTGATGTGATACAGAGCTACCCATTGTAAGGGGAAGATGTTTTTATAGCACTAGAGGGCTGAAGCACCTTGGCAATTTACAAGCCCCTAGGTCTGAAGAAAAACAGTTTGCAGTTTTAAATCTTTTGTCTTGGAGCCGCTTGAGCTTCCAGGTGCCTGGCAGGGATTAGCTAATTTGAATTTTCACTGAACCAGCTTCAGCTGCTGCCTGAATGCCTGAGGCAGGAAAACAGAGCTGACTAGAGGAATTCTGCCTGACTCCAAGGCTTAGGTGGAGATCCCTGGAATTTTTGGGGATTTTTCTCTAACAGTGTTCAGATAGAAAAGTGAGGAAGTGACGGTTTCCAAAGCGACGTTCCTGAAATTAATTTTTCAGGGGATCGCAGTGGCTCCCAGTCACAAGACCTTACCGCAAATTTCAGAGGCTGGCGGCCACCCCTAATGGTTCTTACTTGACCGTTGCATTACCAGATTTGATATTAAAAGAGATATTTAGACAGAGGTCTTTTCATCCACACCTGAACAGGCAGTCGGGGTCCTCCTAGGATGTCAGAGAGACCTTTGGTTAACACCAGGGGGTAGCCCTGGCCAGGAAACCTCAGTTGTCTCTCTGGTCCTAGCGGTCCCTCGCGAAGACTTCTAGACCAGAAAGGGAAAGGAGGAAATTTTTAGAAGAGAGGAAGAGATTAGATTTACCCTCCTGAGTGGGAGGGATACTCACGGATTCCCAGCGTTTCTGTGGGCACCAGCTCCTAGCTGGCACGAAGTTCAGAGGCTAAGCTCCACATTGTGAGAGGGTCCCACGAGGTTCAGGGGAGTCTCATGTTGTGAGAGGGCCCCACGAGGTTCAGGGGAGCCCCACGTTGTGGCGCCAGATATGGGCGACTGCGCTCTCTCTGGGCGCAGGGTGCGCTCACTCCCTGCCAGTCCGCAGACTGCTCTGGGGAGCGGCGGCTCCAGGAGTGGCACGGGCGGATCTGCAGACTTCTCCAGTGGCTGCTTTGGGTCCCACGTCTCTGGGAGTGACGGCAGCTGGTGGCTGTCATAACTTCTCTGGTGCTGGGAGCTCGCTCTGCTACTGGAGCATTGTCCAGCCTGAGTCCCGTCCCTACTACACCCGTGTACCTTTCGCCCTCTGGGGGAATCACCTGGCCACTGAACCCCATAGGGAAGAGGCACGGAGACGGCGAAACTGGGATATCCGTAGGTCGGTAACGGAAGGTGCTGCCCTCTGGGGGAATCAGGTCGCCGGTACACAAGACTCAAGGCTCTGCTTAGTCTTATAGCTTTATTCTCTGGGACCCAATCTCTGAGACCCAGAATCCCCAAATCCCAAATCCCAATATCCCAAATCCCAATATCCCAA